GTATGCGGTGTTGCTTGTAGCCCACTGATGCGTTCGTGGAAGTAATTTGAGCTTTTCAGCTCCTCTGCATCTCGCGTATAGACACATGGAATTTGGCGTAAACAGCTTTGTAACTTCCGAACTGAAGCAGCTAGGAGTCGGAAGCTTTTTGGGCGTGGCGGACGGCGGCATTTAGTGAAGTGGACGCGAAAACAATTTTTACGTTCTCTCGCGTCTCACTTACGAAGACGTGAAATTTGTTGTAACTCCGCAGCCAAAGCAGCCAGGGAACTGAAGTTTTTTGAGCATGGCCCAAGATGGTGTCTGGATAGACACACAATGAAAACAACATTCTCGTCTTTTTCGCTTACTAACACGTGATATTTAACGTAACCCCGCAATCAAAGTATCTGGGACGCTGAGTTTTTCTGGATATGACAACCGTGTTTACTGGAAGTTGTTACAATAATTTTTGACAGTCATGGCGATCAATCAGAATTCTTTTAGTTAGAAGCATCTGTCGGAAAAAACCAGGGCCGTTAGCGATGAAAACTTGCCGGCAAGCAGTGCAAAAAAAACCATGGTAGTCTGTACGCTTATGCGTTTTTTTGCAGCTATGCAATGCAAAAAACGCATATTGACGGGGAGTTGTCAGTGTGTCTGTGTATCTGTGTGATTTTTCATCTCAAGACCTACTAAAACTAGAGGGCTGAAACTTTGCGAAACTAGTCTACTTGCAAGTACGGGCCCCATTTCCCTAAATGGGTGCGCCTACCCGCGTGGTACCCACGTGGGAACCCGCCAAAATTTTTTGGGTAAGTTCATAACTCGGAGATCTGAGAAGCTAGAAAGCTAAAATCTTAAGGGGATGCCCCTCTCCAAGTAGGTATTAATGAGCTCAAACCCAGCCCCCCGAGTAAGCGTGGTATCCGCGTTTCGGGTAAGTTCATAACTCGGGAATATGAGATGCTAGATAGCTGAAATCTTAAGCGGATGTTCCCGGTCCAAGTGGGTATTGATGAGCTCAAATCTTGCCCGCTTGTAGCGCGCCTACGTACGGGCCCGTGAAATTTTCTTTCGGGTAACTTGCTAACTCAGGAACGTGAGAAGCTAGAAGACTTGGATTTTGAAGGGATGTTTCCTGACAGTTCTGGCGGCCAGTTTGAAATTCTTTTAATTAGAAGCATGCCGGAAAAAACAGTGCCATTAGCAACCAAAATTCTGCTCGGAGCTATGCAAGAGACGCATCTTCGTACGGGCAGCTCGTGCGTTGGTCAACTATTTTGTCTATTAGCGTGCAATTGAGCTTTTTGAGACAGGATTCTCACTTGTCTAATCCAGAGATAGTTAAGTGCCTAGCATTTCAGGTGATGAATGATGCGGGCGGCTTCGTGTTCCGCATATCAGATGAGTCACTCGTTCGACGTTTCCTTATACTGGGCACTACTGGCGGCACCTACTATGTCACGGAAAAGGAGCTCACCATGAGATCGGTTGAACGACTGTGCCATATTATCCAGGATGGTACTGATTCGCGG